CTCTTTAACAGGAAGATTTCTGAAGTCTGTGAGGGCTCAGAGCAGCAACCACTGACTATCAGCTAACTTGCAGAGGGAAGAGGAAAAAAAAGCTTGGGATCTCTCCCATAGCAGAGGAAGGCATGAAAAAAAAATAGTAGTAGAAGTTTGCTCTGGTCTGACAGTATTTCTGGATACCTCTGACCACAGGGACTTGTTGACCTCTTCAGCACCCATTAGGAGCTGAGAGAGTAATTTCAAAGAAATTTAGAATGCTTTCTGCCCATTGTAAGTATCTGCCTTGCAAATCCCTACACCCCCTTCCATCTGTCCAATGGAAGCAAGGGCACAGGTGATGTACTAGCTTCAATCTTGCCACTTCTGCCCCAACTACTACAGTAGGTACAATAACAAGTAGGTACAATAACCAATCAGTTTTTACTGATTTGGGACTAGACAGAAGCCAGTCAGCCCGGAACTAACACTGACAAGACAAATCCTGTCAGTTGCAGGGAAAAAAAGAGAAGCATCAGCGCTTCTGAAGTCTCTTTGAAGAGACCAGCCAACCGGAGAATATGCAGAAACAAATGAGGTTACAAATAGGCACAAATGGGAGGAGATAAGGGTGGCATAGTTCTTATTTTGGGAAGGACCTTGTCAGAGTGATCCCTTCAAAGTAATTAACAATTATGCTCTGAAAGTTCATTTGAAATGCACACCTATCCTCTACCCCAAGAAGTATCACTCCACAAGCTGTGACCAATTTATCATCACTATTATCACAAAGAAATTTGTTTGCTGTGGCATTTCTGGCTACTTGCAGATACCTACAATAATTCCACAGGACAATATCATAGACTAGGGCACATGTTACCGCACAGAGCAATTTCACTTCATTAACTCAGCAGAACACCCAGAAAAAAAAAATAATAAAAAATGCATTTAAACAGAAAGTTTTCTACCAGGTTGAGAAGGTGATTCAGCTGAAGGTGTGCCCAGAAAAGTACCAGAACCGCAATAAAAACAAGGAAAAGAAAGACTCATACGTCACAGACATCTCCCTCAGCAGGAGCAAAGAGCACTCCAAGTTCATACCAAGACAGCACTACTCCTGGACCACTTGGCTCTCTTGGCTCAGGCTCCGCTTTTTTGGCAGGGACAATTTGCTAGAGGCTCAGCCAAATTGGCATGAGAATGATCAAATCAGTGGCAAATAGGTAAAATGATTGCCATGTTGCTTTGGAAAGAAGATGACTCAACCCAAATCAAGTGGGAAGTTGAGAGCCAAGAGAACAGCATTGCAGGAAAACAAGGCATCTGGAGCATAAAAGCAGCCACAACAGGAATTCCCTTGTGACTAGACATGAAATATTATTACATAATCGCTCTGAGTGATTAAAACACAGCCTTCAACTAACCGCTTCCCTCTATGCCAACCCCAAGAGGTGGAATGATCTGGAATGTTGCGGGTGCACACAGAGGGATGCTGTGCCATCAACCTCTGCAATTTAATCAAGCCTCAGTCCTTGCCCATCATCAGCTTTTGGTATCCATTATACAAATTAGCATGCCAAACAACAAAACCTCACTTAACGCAATCAAACACAGAGGACAGGCCATCCAAGTAACAGAGGGGAAAAAACCAAAAAACATGAATCCTGTAACTAAAAGCTTCCATGAAAACGTTGTCCCAAGATGACAGCTGGATTTGCAGATGGTCCGAAGATGCAGGCACTAAAGATTAGTGAGAGAGTTAGAAAAGTCCCTGCTGAGCACACACTCCAACTTCCTCCTAAGTTTCATGTTTAGTTGTCATTGTCATTTAGTTGTCATGTTTAGTTGTCATTATGTTGCTCATTGTGTTAGTGCTAATAATTTACCGGAAGCATCACTGCACAAATTGGTAAAATGAGATCTCAGGTTTCTCCATGGCAAAAAAAGTGTATTTCTCAGCATCCTTACTTTGGACAGTGTACTCTGTTTATAGCAGTATGGTGATGCTGTGATAAAGAATAGATGAAAATCTTTAAATAAGCATTTAGCAGTGAAAAAGCCTTGCAAGTGCTAAAGGAAGAAATTTATGTACAAACCAAGCTAAAAAGTTCAAGATTTATGTGCCAAGTCAGGACATTAGCTCAGAAGGGTGATTTAACATGGCCACTGGAATCCTTGTGATTAAATTATGCATCTGACCTCTTCCCCATATGTATTTCAGCAGTGTTAAATAATAAGCACTACATCCTTTATTACCATTTCCAGTTCTAATGACTGGCAGCACTAAAAAAAGCACCGTTCCCAGTGACTCAGTCAAGGAGGTCAGGATAATGGCAGCATCTAACACAGAAATGCCAGTCTTCAAGGAAGGTGCAAGGCCACCCCTGGCTCTAGCAAAGACTCAGAAGTGGGGCTAAACAAAGCACTGAGCAGGGCTGGAAACAGCAAGATCTCCACTTCCTCAATCCCAAGCATTACACAGGCTGGGAGAAAATGGGCATCGGGGAAGGGAGAGCAGAGAAAGCCTGGACAGAGATACAGCATCTGATGAAGGGTGCCACTAGGAGAGAGGCTATGGAGACAGTGGAACTTAACACAGTTTAAGGACAGCTATTCCACTCCCAAAGAAGACAGGGTGAGGGTGGGGAGATGTCTCATGTGCATGTATATCAAATATGCTTTGTGTAAATAACCAGAATTGTTTCATTGTTTCTGAAGACAAAGCAATGATGGAGCATCCAACAGCTATTAGCTCAGACCGCTGAAGATAAGTACAAGAGGATTTACTGGCCAAACAAAAGTACATTTTTTATTAATATACTTTTGGCTCTCTTTATGATATTTCAATATAACCCCTGGCTACTACACAGATGCGTATATTAGACTGAGATTTAATAAAACTCTATTTAGAAAGATGAGAACATTGCATAATACATTACAGAAACAAATGTATTTTTGAGGGGAGTTAAGGAAGATCTGAACATCCAGTCTCTTGAATTCCACCGGAGTAGCCCTTTCTTACAAAGGACAGTGAGATGCATGTAAGAGGAGTCAGCAGTTACAAGAAGTGCTCCCACAGTATCAGAGCTCCTGGGGGTTGATAAGAAAGGAAGTCCAAATCAAGCTATGCTGTTGTTCTATCTGAATTTTTCTTCTCTTTCTTCATTAGGATAAAAACAGACAGAACACCCACCCAGAAAACCCCCAAAATAAAACCAGAGCACCAACTAAGGAGGAATCCTGACCCCAAGAAAACAATCTAATTATAATTACGTGGGATTACAAATCAAAGCAAAAAAGCTGCCAAGTTTTTGGAAGCAAGCATACAATAAAAATAAAAACTCCACACTGGAAAAACCCATAGTCTCAAAAGATGATTATTATTATTCTTTCTAATAGAAAACAAGACAGCAGGGGCCAAAGATGTTTGTTTATCCCTTAAAATTGATCTGCCCTTTACCACAAGTTCTTCCAAAGAACACTTTTTTTATTATTTTTAAAGGAGCATGCAAGACAGCAAACTAACTCTCCCTCGACCTTTTGTGGCCAACTTGATGATGACCTTCAAAAGGTTCAAAGTTTAAAAAAAAATAATTTCACAGTTTAGACTAAAAAGATATAGTTCAAGATATTTTTTTCATGCTAAGGCGTCTGTGTTAAACACCCAAACATATGAATAGCTCAGTCTCTGGATAGAAACAAAACAAAATCTGACACTCTTAAATATTTAACATCATTATGTATTTATGTATCACAAACCATTCATGTCTACCATGCACCTGTGTTTTTCCCATGAAAGGACTGTAGCTGGGTTACTTGTTTTTTTAATCCATTCTGGGTTCAAGGTTTTGAGGGATTTGCTTTACCTGCTTTTTCCCTGTTGCACACGCTTTCAAGGGACACAAAGAGAAACCAAAATGATTTTCGATGATTCAATACAAATGTGTGCTGGCTGACCAAAGCACGATCATGCCAGTCATCCATTTGTTTCTGCATTTCTTTATCCCAACTAGATAAACACAGTTAAGCCAAAACACTGCTCCCAGGCAGGAAGTAATTTTTGCTGATCTTAGGAGGGGATCTTGAGATTAAGGGAACTACTTCCCTGGTGTAACCATTTCATTTTACATTTCCAGGAGCTCCAGTTGCCTGTTTATATCAGTAAGGCCCATCCACAGCCAGCAGGGTTTTCACAGGGCTGATACTGCAAACACGCAAGAGTTTTCAGGTGAAAAGGCAAGGCGGGTTTTTTGCATGCACTACTCGGCAAATAGAAAGTGAGTGCAGAAAGCGGCACAGTCTCCTCATTAGAAATTTTCCACTTTAGCCATTACATGAGGTAACACAAAACAGAGCAGCATGCACTTTCTGCCGCTGGAGTAAAACAACTTGTGTGAGACATTTCTTCTTTAACTGTTCTGCCAAAACAGTTATCAAGTACAAAAGCAGAAGAATTCAGCAGAACTTTGTCTTATTTCACTCATCACCATCTCTTCAGCTTCCCCAAAAACCAACCTGGTTTTTGGTTTGTAGGGCTGCTTTAGGATACTTGCACAAAGGTCAGTGATATTACAACTGCAGTCTGCTTCACAAGCCTTCCCCCTTACTAGCTAGGGACACATGCCCTCAGCATCTTTCCCACAGACACCCATGTCCAGAGACAGTAGGACATCTACCATTGCCAGGATCCCAAAGAGACATACAGGATCCCGTTTCAGGACGTAACTTTGCAACCCAGAGCCACAACCAGTGCCCAGGTACAAGTCCACACGATGGACACCCGGCATGACGTGACACCCAGGGAGGGAAAGGACTGCGGGGACTTGGGATTCACCTAATCCTAGTGGGAGGGTAACTCACAGGGACTTGACTGACCCGGCAGCAACATGCAAGGACAGATCCACATCGTGTCCAGCTGCTCCCCTTGTCCTGGAGAGAGGGGGCACCGAAGGAGGCCAGGGTCGGGCCAAGGGGGTCCCTGTGGGCTGGTGAGGGAGGGGGGTGCCGAAAGAAGTCGCCTTTCTCACCTTGCTCACGACGTTTTGGACGAGGCCGGCTCTGATGCGGTAGTGCCACTCGCGGCAGCCGCACTCGCTGGCGTTGCCCGTCGCGGGGGTTGGTAGCCCGGGCGCGGGGGGGAAGCTGCTGCCGTTGCCGCTGTGGTTGGCGTGGATTGGCGCCAGGGTCCCGCTCCAGTTGCCCTGCCCGTCCGCCTCCCGGCACCAGAAGTCGGGCTGATCCAGGAGGAAGGAGTCCGAGAACTTGCTGAAGCCGATGACGAGTGCCGGGACCCAGGTGAGCAGCACCAGGGTCCGCTGGTACCGGCCGCCCAGCCCTCCGAGGAAGGGTAGCAACGAGCCGTCGTAGTCGAGGAGGAGCGGGCTGCAGGCGGCGGCGGGCGGTGGCACCGGCACCGCCTGGATCTCGACCCGGCAGCGTTGGCGGGGGGCGGCCCCGGGGGGGCGGCGGCGTCCCCCCCCCAGCCCCGGGCACCGAGCCGTTCTCCTCCGGCAGCGGACGGCCCCCGCCGCCCGACTCACGGCGCCGGTCTATCGCCATCCAGCCGCCCGGGGAGGCTCACATAGGGGGGAGCTGGGGCAGCCCCGGCTCCCTCGCGAGTCCTTCCCTCCCTCCGCTCCGCGCGCACACACACACACACACACCTTGCAACGTAAGATATTGCACACACGCTCCCAGCCGGACCCGGCAGGAGACGGATGGGGGAGGGAGGGAAGGAGAGAGGAAGGAGGGGAGGAAGGAGAGGGGCGAAGAAAAGGGGAGGCACCGAGCGAGCCCCTCGCTCGCTCCCTTCCTCACCCGCACCCTGCGGCCACGAACCGCTGCAACTGCCGGCGGTGCCCCCCCTCCCCTCGCCTGTGCGTCAAGCTGCACTCATCCCAGCTCTCCCTTCCCCCTTCCGAGAGGCACAGCCGAAAATAAAAGGAAGGATCCAGCCGGATCCGAGCATGCAATGAGCCAAAAGAGAGGAAGGGAGAAGGCGGGGGAGATGGAAAAGGAGGAAAAAAGCAAAAACAAAACAACAAAAGCCAACCACCCCGCGAAAGAAACCCTGCAACAACAAACCAAGCAAAACCGGTGCAGCAAGGCACCGAACACGCCTCCTCTCCCGGTTTTGGTGAGGAGGGGGAGGAGGGAAAAGAGGGAAGGCAAAGGAAGGAGGAGAAGAAAATAACAGCTCCCGACACGGCTTCCCCGCTTCCCGCACAGCTAAGGGCTCCCCCTGGCCGCGGCAGCAGCGGCGGCGGCAGCCTCAGCACCTCCCCGCCGACCCGTCGCAGCCCCGCGTCCCGCACATCTAGCTCTGCAGGCAGGGGCCCGCCGGCCCCCTCCGCGGCCCGGGCTGCGGACGCGGACACCACCACCACCAACCACCACAGCCGCCGCTGCCGCCGTGCGCCTCCCGCGGCAGCCCGCTCCCCGCGCCGTGCCGCTGGCCGCACCTCCGGAGGCGGGCAGGCAAACCCGCCCGGCTCCTCGCCCTCCGCCTCCCAGCAGCCTCCACCTGCCGGCCCGGCCCCGGCGCCACCGCCCCCCGCTCCGCCCCCCCGGTGCCGGGCGGCCGCACCTGCTCCCGCCGCGCCCGCCGCGCCCGGCCCGGCCCCCCCGCCAGGGACCCGCCGGGGGCGGGACGGCGCCGCGGGGGGGGAGGGCGCGGGGCGGCCCCGCGGGGGCTCCGCACCGCCCCGCGGGCGCGCTTTGCTCCGGCGGAAACGGGGCAGGTGGGGCGGGCAGGGCCGGGGGAGGAGGAGGAGGCGCAGCCGCTCCTGCAGCGCGCCGTTTCCATATCAATTATTTACACGGTGTGTGTGTGTGCCTTTAATAACGCAGCGCGGCTGCAGCGGGCTGGGCGGGAGCGCACCGCACCGCCGAGCCGCAGGAGCATCGTGGGTGGCTGAAGAGAGGGCGAGACTTGGAGGGAAGAACCGAAAGGCGACGAGGGCATTTCTGAGCCCTAGAGCGCTGCGAGGAGATGTGTCTGGATCGCTTCAACCAGCCTGTCACATCAGAAAAAAAATTAGCACCTGACGTTAATTGTGAAACAGGCATTTCGAATTTTATTTCGAAGGTTATTTTTATGTTAAGCTAAATTTACTTCTGCATGTAAGTGCCTCACACTATTTCCATCGTGGAGCACAGCCCGTGCATTACTGAACTGTGCGGTTATTTTTTCCTTTGTAAGGAGGGAAAGAGACAACAGATCAATATACACTTGTACACGTGAACATGGCTACTGAGCAGAAAATGCTTGTGTGCATTAGAAGAGGACTGGCATCATTGCCAAATATAAATGGAAGAGCAAGTTGTTGGTGGAATTTTCATTTACTTGATCTGGTCTCTGCAAGCAAATTGTACACCATGAATGCCTTCAAGCTTACTCCTTTTAACTCCTTGTCTTACAGAGGACACCAGAAAGTTTCCCATCTACACCACTTCAGGGTGGCTCTGGATCCCTTTTGTGGGACTTCCCTCAGTCCTGCTCTGAGGGGGACACAGTATCCAAGAGATCCTAAAGCCCCCCCAGGCAACACTTTATCGTCCTGTCTGAATTTTCCTTGCTGAATTGTGAATGTGGTGCTCCCTGCCCAGGAAAGTATCCTCTTTCTGCATTGCAGTGTCCTTTTACATCTGATGGCTGCTATCATGTCCCTGTGCCATGTTTTCTTTATGATGACCAGCTGCAATTTGTCCGCCTGTGCTGCTGTCTCTTTGGCCACCAACTGCCCTCAGCTCTCCTCCAGTTTCCCCTCAGCTGGTGCCTGCAGCCTGCACTGAGCAGTGCCCCAGCATCTATGTGTGCAGGAGGTAGCCCTGCCTCCAAAAACAATTCCTCTAATTGCTTTTTAGTCACGTTCTGTGCTTTCCAAGCAGCTTCTTGGGATTGTTTTGAATTCTTATTTCATCCTCCAATGTGTTAGCAGTCACTCCCCAATTAATGCCACCTCCAAAGGCTGCTAATGAAAGATTCCAGGACAGATGCCTTTGGAATTGTGTTTATAATCCACCTGCCTGCTACTAAGCCACTGATGGTGGCTCTTTCCACAGTTTTGTACCCACTGCCTAAATTTTTTAAATAAACTGAACTCCCTTATTCATGAACACATGTGTAGAGTCTAAGACACGGATGAGTGCAGGCCTTTCTTCCATACCAAAGTCTGTTCCTCCATTGCCAAAGGAAATTTGGCCAGCTTGTCCCAGTTTCTTGTTGACAAGTTCATGTTAATAGTTGTTTATCTTATTACTTCCTTCTATCTGTTTACAAGTAGTGTGTCCATTTGTACTAGATGCTTTCTGGGAAAAAATTCTGGCTGGTCTATTTTTTTATTTGTTTACTTATTTATTTTCAAATGCCATCTTAAAGATAGGTATCAATTTTGCCTATTTCCATCAGCAGGGTCCTTGGCTGTCATCTCTGAATTCTCAGAGATAAACACTAGTGTTTCCAATGCTATCTGAGCCACTTCCTTCACTACCCTGGCATGAAGTGCAACCAGATTGTTGGTTTGAACACCTTTAAGTTATCTAAGTACTCTTGTAACTAGTTCTGTCTCAGTCTGGGCTGAAACCTTATTCCCTTGTCATTAATATGTATTATGTCAATCACCTGATTACAAGCAGCCTCTTTTAGCCAAGGCTGGTGCAAAGAATGCCTAAGCACTCTTAGTCTTCTCAGCATCAGGCAATAGCTTTCTCTTTCTGATAAGAGAAAGCTTTTGACTTCTTCTTACCACTTATGTAGTCACCAAACAATTTCTTGTTACTTGCAAAGCTCTTGATAGTTAAGTTTTGTCTGTTGAATTGGCTTTTTTTGTATTTGTCCCTATCTGTTCTTAGCAAGCGGCACTCCCGCACTCACCCCATGGATCTGCTTTCTCTGTGCTTGCTTTTTGTAAGCTCATGATTAGCCCAGTCATCTGCTTTCTAACATTCCCAGATTTCTTCTGCAATGGGATCATTTGGGACAGACAGGTCTTCTAGAAACTCCTAGCTACCACTCGCTGTCTTTTCCCACAGAGAGGAAAGGCCTCATCATGGCCTGAGATCGGCAAAGTGAAATGTTGAGGGGAAGAGAACTTTGGGAGCAGAGGTCTCAAGTTGAAGTTCTGAGGAAAGAGAAATTTGGTGAAGAAAGCAAAGAATTGAAAACTGGGAAGAGACGGGAAGGAAAAGAAGAACCCTTGGAGCAGTAAGTAGGATTACTGTGAATGAGTAGATCTGTAGAAAGAGAATAAAGTTACACAGTACAATGAAAAGCCCATAACAAGTGATTACAACCCTTACTCAAGCTGATCAAACATTTTCATCCCCAATGCCTCTTCTGGGCTGCCCCTACATCCTGAGTTTTTGTTTGGAACTAAAATATTTCAAAGGTTACGTATTCCTAAGGGTTACGTATTTTTACGTAGTAGGAGTTCTGCCCTTGAAACAGTGATAGTTGAGAGTCTGTTTCTGCATAGAAGAAGGTTGCAGACAAAAGAGGAAAGAAAACACATTTCTAGGAGCTAAGAAATAAATTTTTGATGAAGTAAATATGACTGAAGCAAAACTTCATGGAAAAATGTCTTTCAAATAACAGAAATGCTTTTATATATTCCTGTGAAAATTGATTTTGGTTTCAATGAGGAAATGAAAAATATTTGAAAGGAATATTCCAACTGTGTGGTGGAGCTTACGCATAAGCAAATACTAAAGTTAAGAGGCAAGCTTTTCTCTCCTGAGCAAGGCTTCATGAGGAGCTATGTTTTGTGATGAAGCAAGGTTTCTCCAACAGTGCCTCTTTGACCTCAGAAGACATAGGACCTTTGGGATACCCCTTCACTGGAATACAGAAAGATACCATTTAAAAGATAAGCTGCATTCCAGAAGATAATGAATCAATGTCTTTTGGCTTATTTTTTCCACTTTCACTGAGTTATATTAGGAAAATTCCATACCATTACAACCTGGTTCCTCACCAGTTTGGGGAGGAGGAGCAGAAAAGATGAATATGGCCTACTCTGATAGGAGCAGTTTGATTGCCCTATTGCAGAACAAGCCTCCTGTTGCAGAATGAGCACCCTGTCTATCAGTACCCCACCGCAGCTCAGAGGGTTTGAAGCCAGGACCCAGATAAATATCATTATGTTTACAGAAAGGAAGAAAAAAAAATCAAGCTCCCTTAGCGTTAACATTTTCACATTCCTGAAAGGCTGGCTGCAGTACTTTGAAGAACTCCTGGCATAAATTCCTGGTTTATGTGGAATTTGAAACAACCTCATTCCACATAGCAACAATCCTAGCTATATTTTATTGGTTTATGGGATGTATGCTTCATTGCCTTTTTTGTCTAAAGGAATCCTATACTGTAGAGGTGAAAACATGACAGTGCAATAAACCAAAGCTACTTGGTACAAAGTTTAATTAATAATATCACCTATTGGAATGAAGACTACTTATATACTGGAGAAAAGCATGGTGTCTTCATAGGATCATATGATAATTCAAGTTGCAAAGGATCAGGAGGTCTTTAGTCTCACCTACTCTTGAAGCAGGATCAGTTATGGGGTCAGATTTGGATGTGCAGTGCTTTATCAAAATGCTATAGGGGATTTTTCAGCTCAGGAGGGCAGGATGAGTGCTGGATGTGAAGCAAGATAAATGGAAAGAAAGAAGAATGAGTTCAAAGTGGTAAAAGAGGCTAAGCCACTTGGGGAACAGGCAGGAAAGCCTGTGTTTATTTCAATGTGCTCTCTTCCAATCCTGATCGAACTAAAGACACCTGACTTTCACCATTGTTCTGATGTCAGCAAACATTAGGAAAACTCACTGGCAAACTATTCTGACCCTCCTGATGCTGATTCAAATAGAAGATGATGACCTATTATCTGTGTCATTTACTCTGCTGGCAGAGGTATGTACCTCATATGGGGAGGGATCCAGCTGGAGAAGGGTTCCCATCCCCTGTCTGCTAGGGAGCGTGAGCATGCTGGGGAACGTGGGTGGCTTTGTTTATTATCCTAAAACCAGAAAAAATTATTTGTGCACTAATTATTGGGAAAAAAAATCATACATGTTGCAAAATCAAGCAATCTGACATTGGTTAACACTGTAACTAGGATTGCTTGGGCAATGTCAATTTGTGCCCCAGATCAGTGCACATGCATTCTGATGTAACGTTTAACGAATGGTGCATTATGATGCAACCTATAATTACAGTATTACTTATAATTTTTCTTGCAATCTCCTGCAAAAATAAATATTTATTTTTTTAAAGATATGCTCACATATCTGCCTTGACTCTCAGAAGGATTTAAACTCTTAAAATACCTTTGAGAATCTGGGTCTTAACAAGGAGCAATTCAATATTTTGTTTTC